GTGGATTTTTTTAGAAAAAAAATGTAGTCATTTCATTTCCATGTGTGAAAATTTGGTACCCCCCAGGCATGCTATAAATAGCTTCATTGTCTCATGATATTAAATGTTTTTGAACTGAAACTGAGAGATCATCCATCAGCAAGCCATCTCACTTCACCTCCTCATCTTCTCAGCCATTCAAGCTGAGGAAATCCTGCGAGTAGGAAAGGGATTAAAATGTGCAGAGCACCAAAAGGCATCAATCAGCCTCTGTGCTATCTCTGTGTGAACTGGGGAAGGTGGGAGAATCTGAGCCTAAAGAAAAATCATACCTGCAAAATCCAGATATACAAACTAGATCAATTTGCTTATGGATATTCATTGACAAAACAAATTACCCAAACTGCCTCTCATAGCAAAACCATTAAATAAATTTAAAACGCAATTCACTTTATGAACAACTTTCCACAATCGTGTCTACTGGGTAAAGTTAGGTTAACTCTCGACTATTTGTTAGTGGATTCCTGCCTTAGTGGATTAATAAACAACCCTGAAGGTTTTGGCCAGACCCCAGAAGAGAGTCTGGGTGAAGAGAGAGATTTAATCTGTGAGTCTGCTGGAGAGTTTCCCTAAGTGACTGGAGGATTAGCTAGTTGAGTTTCTTCCACCAGCAATGTTAATTATCATCTGTGCTGTTTTTTTTTTCTTTTCATTAGCTCCAAAGCCTCAAAGTTCACTGCACATACAGATACAAAAAGTATCTTTGAAAAGAAGAAAAATTATAGCTTGAATTCTTTAGCATTTGATTTTACTAGATGGCAGTCCCAAAGTCTACCTCTAATAAAATTAATAAAAGCAGTTTCCTTTTTAAAATCGTATTTCTGATCCAAGTTGTATCTGAACATTAGTGAAGAGCTCCATGATCCTTACCCCAGGGCCTGGCTAAAAGCCCATGATGCGTCAAAGCAATCACCCATGAATAACTAGAACTTGAATCTGTGAGTGTGTGTGTCTTAACGCATAGTGATATGCATGTGTTCCAATGTACATAACAATACAGACATTCCATGTAATAAAAATAGAAACATCCTGAATGTGCTTTTAAAAGACAAGCAAGTCTCTATCTTCAAAATTTGATAGATTACATATGTTTTGTTTAACAGTTCCCTTTGGCAACATATCAGCTTTTACTATGACTGTAAGAGGAGGAATATCTTGGGATATGATGGGTCCTGAAATCCTCACTATAATATAGTCTTTTACTCCCAATCTCTAGCTGTGACCTACCCCCTTGATAATGAGCTATGATTTCCATTACTACCATAGAGCCTCTGGTCACCAACATAAAAATCTACTTGGAACTTTGTGTTTAGGCAGCTTCCCATGCCTATCTCTGTAAACTCAGTTACTAGGAAATCCTTGTGAACAGACTTGGGACAGATGTCACAACTGATGCCTTGTGCCAATGATACAGGACCCTTAGTCAGATTTAACAGAGAATCTTATAGAGCTCCTACTTCATAGAAATCTACTAGAGTACAAAACAAACAGTAATACTTTTAAAAGTGCCTTTTTAAAGTGAGGGAAACAATAGTCAAACCTCAGAAAAGTATCTTCAGTCCACATGCAGTATGTTTGCCTACATCTATAATATTTGGCCTCAAAGTCCTGCCTGCTGGATTCCAGCTCCAAGGTTAAGAGTACTGTGGATAATGGAAATGCTGAAGGAGGGACCCACCATCTGAGAGAAGAAAGTAGAAAGGAACAGAAACTATCAAAATTTTCTTCTCTGTCTTGCCTTGACTGATTTGCCCAGTTTCTGGGATGGATGTTAAAGTAAGGGCAAGACTGACCAGAGGAAAAACTGTGAAGAGGCTATTCTGTGAAATTCTCTCACCTGCCATTTCCTTTTTCCCCCAGTGCTGGGGATTGAACCCAGGGCCTTACACATGCTAGTCAAGCATTTTACCACTGAGCTATATACCCATCACCACCATTTTGTCTTCACTCCTTCCCCATCCCCATTCTCTGTCTCATTTTTCAGACCTACAGGGAAGTTGCTTCAGTAGACCATTTCCAAGAGAAGTTTGTATTTAAAAGGATAGCTTTGAAGGCCAAAGGGAATTCAGCTATAATTCCCAGAAGAGCAGGTATTGGTGTGTGGGTGGAGGCAGTGAATAGTATGGAGGATAAGGAGGGTATTTCTCATGTCCTAGGGTTCTTGGAATGTGTCTCTCTTTGAGTTCAAGCCAAGAAACAGGGTCTTTACAGTTTAGTTTTCCTTTAGGGTGGTGGACTGAACTCTTCAGCATAAATACTCAGCTGTGAGCCAGGTTTAGTGCCAGCAAGGCACTCCAGGCTGTTAATCCCTAAGAGGTACCTGCAGCTGTTGGCACTCATCCCTCACATGACTGACTGAGCTACAGGATGAAGGTTCAGTTATGGCATCAGCAATTGTCCTAGAAATCCAAAGGGCTCTACTAAGACACTGCACATCTCCAGTCTGGGGTTTAGGGTATATATATATATCTACCAGAGAGGTGTGCTTGAGAAAAAATATCTGTACTATCAGGAATGGGCAGGGGGTCTTTGGTGGCAAGGCCAAGGATAAGCAGCAAATGCTGAGTGATCAGATAGAAGATTCTTTCTCGGGGCCTGTTCTTGGCTCTGTGAGGATCTGCACACATATACCTAGCAAGAGGAATGAAGGAAAGGCATTTTACCAAAAGTCCCTAGAAATAAAATTAGAATCCTCTTTGAAGCTACCCTAGAACTAAAAACATGCAGAAAGAGTCAGGACTCAATTTAAAAAAAAAGATCAAACTATAGAAGGACCAGCATTTGAAATGCAGCAACTCAAGAGACAAATTAATAGCCTATTTCTAACTTTCCTTGAGTTTGAGTATTTTCATTCTGGACCCTCACTCTTGTCATCTAATAGCTGTGTTAATTCAAATTTATGTTTTCAATTAACTTCTAAGATTATTCAACAGTGAGGTAAGAAAGGGATTCTTAGTGTGTTTTCCAACAAGACTCGGAGTCAGATAATGTCATCATAAAACATCACACTGATTTTAAAAAGGACTACAAAACAGATTTAGTTTAAATTCTACTATATGATTATTTTTAATTCTTCTATGTGTATCTTATCGTATTTAATGAGTAAGTATTACAGCCTTGTTTTAAACTACTCTTGTTTCTAGCAAGTAAAAACTACAAAAAGTATTTGCCATTTCAGCAGCTTCTTGAAGTGTGTTTTACCTTTCAAAGCTTACTTGTTCTACATGTCTCCATATTAAATGGTCAATATCATTTCCCCAGAGTGCTATGCCTCAGAAGTATTTTTAACTCTTTTTATCAACTCATTGCCAAGGAATGGTCTATTTGTAATGAAAAGTTAGTTGGTCCATCCTGCAGTGGAAACAGATTTAATAGTTTTCTCTCCTGAGAATAGACATTAACTACCTGAAACATAATTAACAACAGGTTGCCAGTCAACAAGTGCACTTTTTCCTTCATGTCTGACAGTTTATATGCCTCCAATTTAATAGAGGCCATGGTACTAGTTATGAAATTGATAGTCTTGACCTGAACTCCAAAAGTGGCTGTAAATTAAGATAAATGCCAAATCCCACTGAGGAAACAAGTCTTCATTACTATGAAATAGGCATTCAGGTTTGAGGTTAGGACTTCACAATAAGAATATAAATACCAGGCAGAGCACAAGAGAAGATGTGTGCTTGATTATTGTACACACAAGATAACAGTGACTCACTTCACTCATATTATGTTTGGCTGAATATTTTAAATTCCTTCTTAAAAACAAGACTATTGTACCACAGTGTAAAGGTTTTATTATCCTCAATAATGGGAGTGAATATGCCAAGGCATGGAAGCAGAAAATTAGATCTGCTGATTCCAGTGCCAAGACAGGAGTTATTGAAAGCTGCAACAGGTCAGTCTGGTGGGTTTTCCAGTGCTTCAGTGGCCTGGAAACCCAGAGAGGTACAGCATGGAAGTGTTTGGCTCCAGCTAGGAAAGGTGGCAGAAGTCATGTTAGATCTCTCAGGGAGAAGAATTGAGTCAGAACATGGACCCTTACTGTACCTCTGCTATTTCAGTGTTGCTGGAATACTAATCAGGGAGGCAGAGGCACTAAGCAGTTAAGGAAAGAGGTTACTGACCTGGCTCTCTCCCACAGAGGCCACTGCCAAACAGTACAGAAAAGCCAGCAGAGTCACTGCCTGCTTGATGTGTCATCTATGAACAACCAAAATTGATCAAACAAATCCCTAAAGACAAAATGCAAGTCATAAACCTTCAGTCTGAACTCTAATTTTTTAACAATAGGAGGGAGAGTTCATATGAATCTTGTTCCTTCTATATATTCTTCCCTCTTTCCTGTTCATTCAAACTTGTTCCTACTTATTTTGCTTCCCTCTGTTTCTCAGATTTATTGCTTCCTGCCCTGATATTTGGGGAAGGATAAAAAAAGAGGTTATGATTTAGTTTCCTGTCAAGACTCAAACTAAATACAGAGTCTCTTTCTCACTAAAACCCCCTATTTGGCCAATTTTAAAAGAAGTGATGGGACATTAACTCAGAATCCTCTGACCACTGCCTTCTTCTGTGCTGATGCCTAGCCAGACCTATGGGAGTAGAAAAGAATGATTAGTGTCCAGCCAAACTGTGCCAACAACCCTAAGCTATTAATGTATATAGTTCCCAAGAGACATACGGATAAGTCTATTCAAATTTCTATAGGCAAAGGTTCATCCAGCTTTATTAAGCCAGAAGGGAACATGAAGGAAGATTCTTGCTCCTCCTGCTGCCTGTTCACATCCATTGATGCTTATGATTCATCAAAGCACAGATCTCTCTCCCAATAGGACAAATCATTGGCATTTACATACCTGCCACCACCTGGGCATAGTTATATTTCTCATGATCAACTTGGTTCCCCTTTTAAAAGAGATTAGTTCTTTAAACTTTTTGCTCTGGTCTCTTTCTGCCCCCCTCAGGTCATGGACTATATGGGACTTTTGAAATGTTATCCTCCTGGAGGAAAACTAGAGAAGACCAACATGTTAAGGAGCGAACTGCAGCAGTCTATGCAGACTCCATGCTCTCCTTTTCTCTCACCACTGCCATGTACCTGGTCACCTTTGGCATAGGGGCCAGTCCTTTCACAAACATTGAGGCAGCCAGGATTTTCTGCTGCAATTCCTGTATTGCAATCTTCTTCAACTACCTCTATGTACTCTCGTTTTATGGTTCCAGCCTGGTGTTCACTGGCTACATAGAAAACAATTACCAGCATAGTATCTTCTGTAGAAAAGTCCCAAAGCCTGAGGTATTGCAGGAGAAGCCGGCATGGTACAGGTTTCTCCTGACAGCCAGATTCAGTGAAGAAACAGCTGAAGGAGAGGAAGCGAACACTTACGAGAGTCACCTATTGGTATGTTTCCTCAAACGCTATTACTGTGACTGGATAACCAACACCTATGTCAAGCCTTTTGTAGTTCTCTTTTACCTTATTTATATTTCCTTTGCCTTAATGGGCTATCTGCAGGTCAGCGAAGGGTCAGACCTTAGTAACATCGTAGCAACTGCGACACAAACCATTGAGTATACTACTGCCCAGCAAAAGTACTTTAGCAACTACAGTCCTGTGATTGGGTTTTACATATATGAGTCCATAGAATACTGGAACACTAGTGTCCAAGAAGACGTTCTAGAATATACCAAGGGGTTTGTGCGGATATCCTGGTTTGAAAGCTACTTAAATTACCTTCGGAAACTCAATGTATCCACTGGCTTGACTAAGAAAAATTTCACAGACATGTTGAGGAATTCCTTCTTGAAAGCCCCCCAATTTTCGCATTTTCAAGAGGACATCATCTTCTCTAAAAAGTACAATGATGAAGTTGATGTTGTGGCCTCCAGAATGTTTTTGGTGGCCAAGACCATGGAAACAAACAGAGAAGAACTCTATGATCTCTTGGAGACCCTGAGGAGACTTTCAGTCACCTCCAAAGTGAAGTTCATCGTCTTTAATCCATCTTTTGTGTACATGGATCGATATGCCTCCTCTCTGGGAGCCCCCCTGCACAACTCCTGCATCAGTGCTTTGTTCCTGCTCTTCTTCTCGGCATTCCTGGTGGCAGATTCTCTGATTAATGTCTGGATAACTCTAACAGTTGTGTCTGTGGAGTTTGGAGTGATAGGTTTCATGACATTATGGAAGGTAGAACTGGACTGCATTTCCGTGCTATGCTTAATCTATGGAATTAACTACACAATTGACAATTGTGCTCCACTGTTATCCACATTTGTTCTGGGCAAGGATTTCACAAGAACTAAATGGGTAAAAAATGCCCTAGAAATACATGGGGTAGCTATTTTACAGAGTTACCTCTGCTATATTGTTGGTCTGATTCCTCTTGCAGCTGTGCCTTCAAATCTGACCTGTACACTGTTCAGGTGCTTGTTTTTAATAGCATTTGTCACCTTCTTTCACTGCTTTGCCATTTTACCTGTGATACTGACTTTCCTGCCACCCTCTAAGAAAAAAAGGAAAGAGAAGAAAAATCCTGAAAACCGGGAGGAAATTGAGTGTGTAGAAATGGTGGATATCGATAGTACCCGAGTGGTTGACCAAATTACAACAGTGTGATAGTGTCTGTTTGGTATATTTTCACCCTAGGTCTTATCAAGAGCAAAGAGATTGTGTTAATGAAACAATTAAATTCAAAGTTGTTCCCATTTTTAAGGACAAGAAACAGGCATTGCAAAAAAAAAAGTATAAAGGACAAGGGGGGTAATGGGTATGGCATATTTTCAATCTTTAAAACAAAAGGGTTGTAATAAGAAAGAATTTAAACACACATATTCTCTCTCTCTCTCTCACACACACACACACACACACACACACACACACATACACACACACCCTCGGAGACTTAGAGATTCTTAAGCTAAGATGAAATAGAAGAAAGCTTATTAATGAGCAGGATCCTGTTTTATCCACTCTGCAGATGTCGCTAGTATTGTGATAAAAGCAACTGATTGAAAGGTCAGCTGCCAAGGCAGAAATAGCTTCAAGCATTATCTAAACAATGCTTCCAAAAACTTGTGCAGAGCAGTACTTCTCACCAGGGTCTATGGTTTGAGGTCTTGGCTGTCTCAACTGGATCCCCAGCACCTAAGGAGATGCTTGTGAAAGTTCTGACCAGCAAAAGCAAGCCAGAGCCTTGGAAGCAGACATGGTAGTGACCATCACTCATAAACTGAAATTGAATCACACTTAAAAATCATCTGGATGAGGCACTTTGGTTGTCTAGAATTAATTTATCATATTACCCCAATGATACACTTTTAATATTTGTATATTTTGTTTAATACACCTGAAAACCAATGATAACTCCAGCATCATAGAATTGGGACAATTCTATTTTGGAATATTTTGTCACTTGTCACCAAATGGGTCTGCTTTATTAGTTACAGATTTTGGCAGGGGGGCTATGGGGACATAAAACCACAGAGCCAAACTCAAATACCTGGCATGATGAGAAAAAGTGGGTGGCTACTGGAACCTAGAGACAGTATCTTCATTTTAATAACAAAAATATATAGCCATCTGGTACAGCTGTTTGTAGTTTGGCCCTATATGCATTTTTGCATGGATACCCAGAAACAACATCTGCCCACATATAGCTAAGGAAAGAAAAACAAACACAGGAATGGTTATCTACCATAGCTTCCAACTTACAGTAACAGTCTGCCTTTGCTATGAGACATGACTTCTCAGAGACATAGAGGGGAGGGAAGATCTTCGGTAATCCTTAAAGTCTAACACTGAAAAACTTTGTAGAAGTGCAGGGAGATAAAGGGACAAAAGGAAAACAGATGGAAATTACTGGAAAAGCGATCATTGATACAAGTCTATCAGTGACAGCAGTCAAATTTGTCTACTAACTGGCCATACCTCACCTCTCTGGTTCCCCCAACACACCATTTTTACTGCACCTCTACTTCATCATCAGGCCCTTCTATGCATTTACAAGCCCAGATATTTACATGGTTAACTTATAGTATCTATAAGAGAAACGGTTCATAGATTTAAACAGAAATGGTTTGACCTGAAGAGGATGTGTATGCTGCCCCAGACCCCTACATTTTTTCAATCTATAAAACTGAAGCTAAAACCAAGTTACATTTGAGGCAAACTTCCACAGTATTTTTCCCTTTTAGAGATGTAGCTTCTTCAGATATCTATAGTGGTAAGTATTTCCCCAAAGCATCTTACCTTTCTGAACTTTAGCAGACATGCTGTGCAAATTCCTCATCCTCCACAGAGGGGGAAACTGAGACTTAGAAGAACAAAGTAACTCACCCAGGTCATACCCTAGAGGATTTCCTCATTTCAGCATGCTGAAGACAGGAAGATCAATTTTAGGTTTACTCCTAAGACAGCTTTATCCCCCCGCCCCCTTGAAATACATTTCTAAGATAGAACATAGGACTTTGTTGGCCATAAGGCAGATATTTTTTAATGTTTTAGATTTAGGTTTACCATTGTCTCTCTAAATAGCCAAAAAAGAAAAAAAAAGCAAGCCCAAATGATTCACATGTAACAATACCACGTTGAAACCTGTGCTTTCTGTTTCATGTACTGTTCTCCATACAGTTCCAAATACTGTGCAAGGGATCGTAGCTAGTGTATTACACACTTGTTCAGTCTCCCCTGCAGACACACTAAGTGATCATACCAATGTGTTATACACTCAACAAGAAGATAATGAGCTTTAATCTGAGGACAAGTACAGTCCTCACAAAGGGCAAGTTTGCATTTGCATAACAGATCTTCAATCAATTCTCTCTCCTAGGGGCCTGCAACTGGGCTATTATTTATAAAACACAACTGAAGAGGGAATTGGTTTTATTCTTAAATCACATGTTGCTAAATCATTTTCTGAACAGAGTGTTCTAAATCAGCCATTGATTTAGTGTCAGCCACATGGAGCACCACAGCTTAAAGTGACTCCACAAAACTGACACAACACACACAACAATTAAGTGGATTTTGTTCAGAATTTAATCATTCAATTTGGTCAACCAGAACGACTTACTATGGAACTTTGGTTTATGACAGATAGTAGTTTTCCAACTTGATTGAGTCTCTGTATACCCAAGAATATTGTATTTTTAAATGAAGGGCATTTTCAAACTTGTCAACTTCTCTTTTCAGCACTTGAAATCAAGGCTTATGAAATTCTGACTGTGAAATGAATTTTTTCTATTGGGGGACTATGCATGCCAAGATTTGTTATTTATTATTAGATAATTATTATTTGTTAATATTGACTACTGATTATTGCTCTGACAGCATTGGTTTAGCCTCACCATGGAGAAGACACTTTAGAAGTATCTCAAAATCACATTTCCATAAAATTTAAGTCTTTACATCATGAAGTTTTATTTTTTGAATTGCTACAAAGAGAGAAGGAATTATTCCAGCAAACACTTGAAGTTTTTTTTTTTCCTTTATTTAATTCCAACCAAGACATTAATGTCCACTTTACCAAAGAAACTTATTTGGTTGGTTTTGAGTTGGTGTTTGTTGTTTGTTTACCAAAGAAAATATTCCACTCATCAGAAATATTTCTCCTGGTCAACTAAAAAACTGTGATACTTGGGATTTCTTGGCCTTCGTAAGGAAAATAAGAAAAGCCAAGGTAAGAGTTATGATACTCTCTCACTTCATGAAATTCATCAGAAGATGTAAATTCACAAGGAACTTGGGGTTTGCAAGAAAGAAAATGATACTTGAAACAGGGCATTGTTTAGTCCTCCAGCAATGTTCCAACAAGTAGCACTAGGACTCCTCAGGCTAAAAGAAGTACAGTTTATTCCAGAGAAAATATAGGAAAGCATCATGAAAAATTCCTCTCCATTGTTCCAGTCCATAAGTTTTGAGGTTTTTTGGTGTTTGTGGTTTAGTTTGTGAATTTTGTTTGTTTCTCTGTTTGTGTTTGCTTGTTTAGCACCTGTCTTTCCTACCACTTTTACCCCCTCAATCTTCAGTTAGAAATGAGATCATCAGATGCCATCCTCCATGGCCACAGTTATTTATACAACATACTGCTATCAACAAGACCCTTGAGAACCATTTTGAATAACCACCACCCAGTTGTAAGTGGCATTCTGGGACCATGACACTACTTTCTTCCAGCCTTAGAAGCAGATTTTGGAAATATCCCTCATAGGAACAGATGAGATGGAGCACTGCCTTATGGATGTGGTCTGAGGCAGAACCTCTTGGACACAAATGGTATTCTCATAGTATCTTTATTCCTTTAGATTCCATTAAAGTATCCCTGCAGCTTTCATAGTGCTTGTTCTCTATGAATCTCTGTTTTCTCATCTGTAAAATGGGGGTAATAATAGTAAATGTCTTTAAATTCAGAAAATATTTATTGAGTGCCTAATATCACCCATGTACTGTTTGAGAGATTGGAGACACAAGAGTGAACAAATCAGATAAAAAATAATCTGCCCTCTTTGAGTTGACATTTGAGTGATGTTTGCTGTGAGGATTAAGTGAGATGACACATGGAAAATACTTGTAGCAAAGCCTGGCAAAGAGAACTCAAGATGTTATTATTTTTAACTTGTCAATCTCACACAGTAGCACCAGGATGTAAAGCTAGAGAGATATAGATTTGGGACCACAATTAGGGCTATTTAAGGATGCAATAGGTTGCCACAAAAAAAAAATTAGTTAATTCCTGGTCGTTTTAGGACATTCAAAATTAGGCTGGATCACCATTTAGTGGAGCAACTGTAAAGGAGGTGCAAGCCCTGGATGTTGGGGTTAGACTCTAAACCTAGAAAAATGGGATATAGGCACTTGGGGTAGGCAATGGGAATGGGACAGTACTAATTATTAACTATGCCTGGCTTGTCTGAAGATATTTGAATATTCTTTTTGGGTGATTTGCTTTTAAATTTTTGCTCAATAAAAAGTATCAGGTATTTGAAGACAAAGTTCTTACTTTTTAAAAGCATGGTAAAGTTGTAATACAAAGGAAAATATTAAATTAGTACCATACTGGATTAGTTGGCAAAGAACTGAGAATAGATAAAGCCAACACATTGCAGAGTTCCTCCCTGTGGTGGTTACAACTGTTTATTTCTGTTTCATGCCAGTTCAGGATAAAGGAAAGAGGAAAGTGAATGAGCTAGAATCTGTTCACCTGAATAGGCAGTCTCAGGATGTCCTCCCCAGCCTGCCTCACATCTGCCCCACTCCCATCTGCCCAGGTGATCTGTTTGAAGTGCTCTTTGATATCTATGAGGGAGCCATGCAAGGAAGAGGAAGTGAGATGACCAGAGAGCTGTGGTCTCTACAGATTTTTTAGTTATATTAAAATGAGTACCACAAGAGTTCAGAGGAGGCTGCCTGGTAGGGAAAGAAGGCTTTTTTTCAGAGTACAAAGAAAGCAATGTGTACCAAGGAGGCAACCTGCAGAAGAACCTTGGTGGAAGGAATGATGTTCATGTGGAATCTGCCAGCTTCTTCTCCCTCCAGAATGTTGACCCCAGATGAATTTTTGGATAGAAATAAGCCTAATCCCCCCTCCATTTTTCACATGAGAAAACTGAAACCTAGAGAAGTAAAATTGTGTTCAGAGCTAATTAGAAACAGATGCAGGACTGTAACTGAAGTCTAGTTCCTAGTCTGTTCTTTCTCCATTCTGCCACTTTACTGCCAAATTCTATGTATCTAA